TTCATGGAATTTATCCAATTAATATAACTACTAGCTTCTTTAAAAGATTTAGGCTCAACAGATTTATTCAAGTTAGAGACAAAGCAAAAATTTTCCGAAGATAGACACGATTAATTTACCCTTTCTATTCCATATTTGACCTTTCCCTCTATTACAAAATCATCAAATTTTCGAGGAAAATTGGAAGGTCTCGATGACCTTCGAACAAATGACTGAGTTTAAGTTTGAGTACCCTCAGAGATGAGACCCAAGGTAGCTTCATTGTTATTTCTACTAATATCTTCAGATTGAGTTTCAGCATCACGAGGAGTATTGGTAACCACTTCAGAGCTACCCAAAGGTTGCCAATTAGTAACTCTTTCAAGGTCACCCTCTTGAGAAGGACCTTGGTTAACATGCAAATCTGAGCTTCCTAGCGACTGCCTATTGGTAGCTCTAGATGGGCTACCTAGTAAACTACGGCTACTTTGATAATTAAAAAAGGGACTGATGAGATTTCTCATCTACTGACTAGTCTCGATTCTCATCATTGGGAGGAAAAATACCAAGATCATTAGAGGAATTATACACAGAATCAAAAAAGTTAAGGTTGTTTATGTCACCAGTATTGGATTCATCAATCTCGTCCATACTCGTCTTAAAAGGAAACACATTTTCATAGAACCTAAAATCACGAGACACAATGATTCTTTTAGAGTCCAGACTATAAAGCCTGTATCCCTTTTTTGAACTTGCATGGCTCAACAAAAAGCATTTTTCAGATTTAGGAGAAAACTTATTTGTGACTTTTGGAAGATGTGCAAAACATAGACATCCAAAGCCTCTAAGATGAGTAAGAACTAGTTGGAACCCATAGACTAGATCATAGGGACTCTTACCATTCAAGACAGACGTTGGTGTTCTATTTAGTAGATATGTGGAGGTGAGAATACACTCACTACACATATCGAGTGAAACTCCACCCTAAAATATGAGATCCCTAGCAATGTTAAGCAAATGACAATGTTTACGTTCAACAACCCCATTCTGTTGAGGTGTGTAACTACAAGAGGTTTGATGAACAATTACTCTTAGTTAAAAAAACTCATTTAATTTTTGATTTGTAAATTCAGATCCATTGTAACTTCTAAAAACTTTTACAAACTTTCCAAATTGAGTGTGAAGAAGATTGTAAAAGTTTTCAATATGTTCACTTACTTCATATTTTCCCTTCAAAAGATAGACCCAAACCGGACGTGCAAAATCATCAACAATGGTAAAAAAATTTATCTAAAGCCTTCCCTACTCTGAACATGGTAGGGTCCTCAAATGTCCAAGTGAACAAGTTCACCAAGACTTAGGGATTTGTGGGTGCTAGAATCAAATTTCTCTCGTGTTTGTTATGCCTTATGGCAAACCTCACAAGGACCACAACCATCACTTCCAATGTTAAGTCTGTCTTTCAGGACTTTTAGCACTTGGTTAGCTGGGTGACCAAGACGACTGTGCCACAATTGAGTAGACAGAAAACAAAACATACTGAGATTATTAGAGGGGAAGGATGACTCACTATTAAATCTTTGGTCAAAGAAATACAGCCCACATTCCTGACTACCATCCCCACAATACTCTTTTGATGAAAATCCTGAACATAGCACTTTAATTCATCAAACCCAACAAAAACTTTATTATCTCTAGCAAGCTTATGTACATATAAGAGGTTTACATTGAAATCAGGAACAACTAACACATCGAAGAGAGTACCATTGTTCCATTGGGATGACTGAGTTTAAGATTTAGATTAGTGACATCAACAACATTATCTAGATTAGAACAATTTGAAGTCATGTGTTGGTTGGCACCTGAATTAATAATCCAACCAGATTGGGATGATTTAAACATACCTGCCATATTGGCAGTTGCTCCCTCAGAAGTGGGTTTCTGATCAATTAGGCCTAGAAGTTTGGCAACTTGTTCCTCAGAAAAAGAGAAAGAAGATTTAGGAGTAATAGGTTCAAAGTCAAAAGCATTACCGACAATGGGTTTGAAATTTTGATTTTGAGGTTTAAATCCTTGATTTTGAGGTCAGGGTCGATTTTGAAAAATCTTTTGGAAACACTATTAGTTTAAAACATCTCTCAATGGTGTGTCCCGTGGTTCCACAATGTTTACACACAAGATTAATAAAGTTTCTGCCTAGTCTTCTTCTATTTTCAACACTTTTACTAAGGAAAGCAAAGTTGAGTTTTTGTACGGTTTTGAGACAGGTTACCCCCCGGTGAGATTCCTCTCTTGAAACAAGAGAGAAAGCAGTTTTAACAGAGGGAAGAGTTTCCCTAGTTAAAATGTTACTTCTAATGGGTTGGTAAACATCATCCAATCCCATAAGAAATTGCATGAGCTTGATCAATTGGCTATGTTGCAAAAAAAAACGTGAGAGGCCTTACAAGTGCAGGATGAGAGTTTTACAAGAGCATCAAATTGTTTCTAGAGAAAATTTAGCTTATGATAATATTCAAAAACAAAAGTGCCATTTTGGCTTAAGGAATTAATTTTCTAGTGTAGATTGAAGGTGACTGACCCATCAACTTTGTCATATGTTTCTTTTAATTTCTGCCAAACTTGGGAGGATTCTTTGGAAAAGACTTGTCCTAAGAAAATGTCCTCAGCCATAGAACTAAGGATCCAGGAAAGAACAACCGAATTGCATCGATCCCATTGTCTTTCTAAGACAGGGTCATTTATAGGACGAGGACAAGATCTATCAATAAACCCAGTTTTATTTTTAGTTTCCAAAGCTAAAATCATAGCACATGACCAAACTTTATAGTTGTCAGTACCACTTAACTTGAAAGATAACAAAGAGGCTCCACTAGTATCACTGGGATGTAAGTACAGTGGATCTACAATGTCTAATTTTGTGACTTTGGATTCCATTGGATTTCCAGGTTCAACTGGTGGAGACGACATGAACACAAACGAAAAAAAAGAAAAGAAAAGGGAACCGAATAGATATAAGCAGGATTCCTAAAACACTGAAATCGTGCTAGGTCAAGCTAACCATTCAGTTACTGGACAAGAAAACAGAGAGAAGAAGAGAAGGAAGGAAACATGCACACCAAACCACACATTAAGAAAAAGATAGTAAACAGAACACATGTAATAGACAAACAGAGATACTAGTTTAACACAAATCCTTTTAACTTTTGTTAAAAAAGAAAGGAAAAGAGTCACCTGTAGAGAACGCAAACAAAAAACTTAGCACTACGCCTTTTAACTTATGTTCAAAGAAAAAGAAGAGGCGACCTGAAAAGACAGATTCCGGATACAGGAAGCAACCTGAACAAAATTAAGCAAATATAAGAAAAGAAAAAAAATAACCAGATTTGGATTAGGACACAGATATGTGATATACAGTCCACACAAGATAACAAAGAGCACAAAACCTTAACTAGAAGGTCAAGCAATATGATCCAGGACAAATTTAGACAAGGATAAGAACAACAAACCAGATCTGGAAGGGGACCAAATCTGAGATAAGCAGTATTCAACACAACAAAAAAGTACAGGTAAGATCGACCTGAACAAATTTAGACGAGAATGAGAAGTACAGATCAGATCTAGATTGGGACCATATCAGAGATAACCAATTCTCAACACAACAAAGCAAGTACAAGGATCACGTAATGAGGACCAAAGTAAGATCTTAAAGATCTTAACAAGGCACACAACCCTAATGATCATCTACCTTAACAAATTTAGACAAGTATGAAAAGTACAGATCAAATCTGGATTGGGACCAAATCTGTGATAACCAATATTCAACACAACAAAGCAAGTACAAGGATCATGTAATGGGGACCAAAGTAAGATCTTAAAGATCTTAACAAGGCACACAACCCAAAACGATCATGAATCTCTCGAAATAGGAAACAACAAGAATAACAAGAAGGTCGAATATCACAAAAAGGGAACCGACAATCGAGATTTTGCAATCTCGTGGACCGAGAAACCCTAACAGATCCTATATTCGATTCACTTACAATAGAAAAAAAAATCTGAGAGATTTTTCAAAACCAATCGAACCACTTAGCTCTGATACCATGTTAAAACTGTACAAACTTGAAGAAAACAGTTTTATTTCATGAATCAACAAAGAAAAACATACAAATCTATACAATCTGCTTCAAGAATCTAAAAACTAAATCTAAAATAAGAATAATAACGAATGTATCTTAATCTAGCTTAGAGATAGAAAAGGAAGAAGATAGAAAGATCTAGAGGGAGAAACGAGAGCTAAAAATGAATCTTGCAAAATAGATTATGAGCTGGATCAATAAATAAACTCGTTTATATATTTTCTGGAATGTGGCAAGAATAGTCCTTGGAAATGTAGATAATGTGCTCCACTACCCTTAAGTCTCCCAATATATGAGGCGCAGTCCTTCAAGTATCTCGAACAACACAACTTTGTAGAATCAACGCTTCATACTCTTGCCAGTTAATATCCTGACAAAATAAGGACAATAGTTAAGACAGTCAAGATTGCAAACATTTGATATATTTTAACATTCCACTACTAAAACCTCCTCTAACACTTACACAACCACCGTACTGACCACCATCGTCCATCGCCACCTTTACAACTACCGTCCGCCACCGACCATAACTGTCCATTGCCGCCATCACTACCACCATTAGCCACCTATACTTTCTCTACTTCAACAACCTCCTTCACCACCTTCAAGCACTGTTGACCACCAACCACACCGTTTGTGCAACAAGATCAATTCTCAGGCCCTCTTTCTGAATATTCAAATGATCATAGAGTCATTCTGGAAAAGTGTGATATGATCCAGATTTAGAATGTTATTGATGATGCCATTCATTTGCGGACTTTTGTATTCTCTTTGGGACAAGGTAAAGGACTGGCTTAAGAGTCACAATTTTGATGCATTCATTACATGGATGCACTCTCAAAGGCTTTTTTAACTCGTTTATTCCCGCTGGCCAAAACAACAAAGCTAAGGAGTGACATCACTACTTTTATGCAACATGAGCATGAGTCCCTTTATGAGGCATGGGAGAGATGTAAAGATCTCCAACGGTGTCCCCAAGTGGCTTCATATTCATACATTCTACAATATTTTGAAGCAAGATCTTCAGATTTTTATTGATGTGATCCCGGGTGAGTCTATGGTAACAAAACCCCCACTACTACAAAAGCTCTTATAGAAGATATGGCATCCAACAATAACTTGTATCCAATCGAGACGCAAGTTCCGAAGAAAGGTGGAAAGCTAGATTTTGATGCTCTTGTACTCTTAATTTTAATACAAATTTCTCCTTGTTTGAAATTTGTTATGACTATAATGGTGGTTAAGTATGAGCGTTAAGGCACCCCACGTTTTGAACACGTGAGGGTACTTTAGTGATTTTACCCTAGTTTTTTAGTATACAAGTTAATATTGCATGGGTACAAGTTATTAATGAAAACAACCCTTTTTCTTCCCAACTGTCATTCCTAAAGTCTACTTCCTAAGGCAACTTCTTTTCCGGAAATAGTACTCCTTCATCGCCAAACAACCTTCTTCTTCCTCATGCCTCCTCCTAACAATACATCACTGCCTAGTCGGATAATAACACCCCCAACTGTCCAATCGTGTCTACCATGGTGAATGAGTTTTGATACAAGGGTTTGCATTTGATTTTATAAGAGGAGAATCTGTTGCTAGAACCCCGAGAGACAGATTGGGGAATAAACTAGGAACCAAACACATGAAGATTCGATGTGAAAAAAAAAGATTTGATAGGTTTGTCGATTACACCAAACTGATGAAGAGTAAGATAGAAATGAAGGAAAACTAGAAACCAGCAAGGTAGATGAAGATGAAATCAAAAATCTTTTTGGACCTCGACTTCATCTTGACCGATCGCCATGTGTTTATGGTTTAGCATCGTCCCTGGATTTTTGCCTTTAGTAAATGTTAATTTGTATAGATAATAATGATTTTAAGAGACATGAAGAGGTAGGTTGTGTGTTTGGATTAGAAGGGTGGCTCTGGATCTCATCCTAGTGAAGAGGTAGGTTATGCTTTGCACATAAGTGGCTTTCAATCTCATCCAAGGTGTAAAATGGATCAAGAGTTCTACGCACATAAATGAACACATGGTGGATGTTGGGGAAGAAGACATTATTGGAAGATTGTTGCGCCGATTGTCTGGGGTCAGGTTTGGAGAAAGGAATCTGGGCAGGGAGGGGTAATAGATTTAGGGGGTGTTTCATTTAGGGTATCAAAAGGTTATGAATGAAAATGGTAACCGTCGATCATGTTTGGTTCAAACAAAGAATGGAAATGGAAAGAAAAATGGTGTTTGGTTTCAGATAATTAATTAGTCATAATAATAGAATTGAGTAAAAATCATTCCTCCCCAAATTGGGGGGAATAGAAGTAGCCAACAGATCGTCTCCCCTTCTCCTCCCTACACTTTCCCTTGCCCATCTATCTTTCTATACCTCAAGTGTTCCTATCAACATCGTGATTTACCATATTGAAGATTTACCTCCATTTCAATTAGGGTTTTTCCGTCTCGATCAAAAATGGTGAACCCTGTTAAGGTCTTCTCGATCTATCAGCTCAAAGATTTATTTACATTTCAAATTGAAGATTTCTCTTCGATTTATCACTTTAATTTGTTTCTTTGCTACGATTTTGATTTATGTAGCATCTCTGTTCCGATTTCTCTTCTACTCGGTTAGCGTATTCTGAGGAAGAAAGAAATCAGGGATGGTTTTTCTTCTACTCGGTTAGGATTTTCTGAGGAAGAAAGAAATCACGGATGCTAGGTATTGTTGGTATCTTGGTGAGGGAGATGCATTGCAGATGAAAAAGGATGGATATTATGTCTTGGTAATGGAGATGTTGGGTATTGTTGGAGATGGTTGCTACGATTGAGAATTGGAGATGAAGATGGAGACATGATGGAGATGGAGATGCTGTGTAAGGATTTTGTCTTGAAAATGAGACAACTTTTTTTTTAACATTATCAATGGAAGGAAATCATCAACAATATAATAGAATGAAATAAAAATAATGATTCTCATTCTACTTTATTATTATTACCAATCTATTTTCGTTTCTTGAAATGAACCAAACGCTCCCTTAGGTTTTGGTTTTGTAAAATGACGAAAATACCCTCACATGCTAAACACATGGGGAGACTTATCACTGACAGAGACCGTAGTCATAACAAAATCCAAATAGAAAGGATAAATTTGTAATAAAGAAAGTGTAGGGACTATAAACAAAGTTTTGGTGTAGGATATGGACATTTTATGTAATTCACTCCATCACTTAAATATCCAACAACTCATTTAATAAAGTCATCTAACCGATGACTACTGCTCACGTGGCAACAATCGAATGGCCAAATTATTTAATCAGGGTTTATGTTCACTTCGTTACTGAAACAATGGATTATTTTATGGTGCAAAGAAATGAACAAATTAATATGATGGTGCTGGCCAAATAGAAGGAGAAAAGAACGAAGAATATGTGAATACGATGATCTTCAATAACAGCAAAATATAAGTATGGAAAAACAATCAAGTTATTTGGTGAGCATGTAAAGTTGGCACGAAAAACTGTATAAAAAAATGTCATGTTATTTATTTTTGAAAGACCTATGTTTCATGAAAACTATCTACCAGATATTTACGCAGATCGGTACATATATACACACACACATATACATACAGGCCTTCTTTTAAGAACTGTACAATTTATGAGATCCACAATAAACTATAAATTTAAATTAGAACGTTAATAATTTTGATAAATTTTAATTAAAAATTGAAGTAAAGATTATTATGGATATTTTATAAATATTCTCTTCTGTCTCCTCTTTAAAACTCTCTTCTTTCATTAATAAAATAATCTAAAAAACAAAACTAAATCTAAGAAGTAACCTTACACATTACGAATAACAGATAACTTAACAAGCATCACCAAGTAATCCATTGTGATCACAATATGAACAAAAAATATCAAAAATAAAAAACCAAAAAAACTGCAGATCACTAAAAACATTTTGTAAAGACTTGCATACACATTATGTATACAATCAATATTACAAGTTTGAACATCCGTCGACCATCTCCGGTGAACCCAAAACCAAAAACCTGTAGTATCATTATGTGAATCACCATCAAATATATTTTTTCAGTTAAATATTGTGACCACCAATTTTTTACGCATTGTGATCACCTATTTTTTACACGTTGTAATCACCTATTTTTTTTACACATTGTGATCATCTTGTGAACACAATGTGACACAATGACTCTAAGAAAAAAAAAACACTAAAATTCCCTAAAAGTATTGTGTAAGGTCTTAGATACATATTGTGATCATCTTTTTCTTTACATATTGTGATCACCTTTTGGACATAATGCTTATAGAACGACACTAAAAACAAAAAATAAATAAAGATCCCTAAAAGTATTATATGAAGACTTAAATACACATTGTGAATAATTAATTAATATTTTATTTTAGTGGTTATGTATTTCTTATTTTTGAAGTTATAGATTAACTAATTAGATGTATTTATTTGTTGTCTAAATTACCTTTTTTATTTGTTTAATAAACAATATAAGTATTTTAAATTAGTGGTTTACAATAGATTTCATAGATCTCACGAATTATAAGGTTCTCATTTGATTAAGTATTCACACAGGGTTTGAGTAAATGAGAACTGTATAGTTTGTGATAATTATGAAATACAATGTAAACCACTCATTTGAAATATTTAAGAGAATATTTCTTAAATAAGGTAAAAGGAAAATTTAAGTATTGTATTTATGACAACTCATAAAGTTCGTCGGAATAAGATTTGCTGGAACAAAAAGTTCGCGGGAAATAGCAGAGAGGAGAGAGAAGATTTTTATTATCTTAAAAATGCCCTTAGCTAATATTTTAAGTTGAAAATATCATAAATATTAATTTTCTAATTTAACATTTGATTTGTGGTTGAGATTGAACCTTACGGTTATCATAAATTACTGAGTTCTCCCTTGAATAGCTGTAACACCCCACTTCACATTTGCATATAATCCACATATTTCATATAACATGAAATTCAAATAATTACACATTGGTTCTAAATGTACAAGTTGCTATATTCAAAAGTAACTACCAATTTTTTGTGTATATATCAAGTATAAAACTTGTAAACATAACAAGTTCTCAAGTACAAATAACATAACAACTTCAAAAAAAATCCACATATGTAATGCAATTATGATCCCTTTACATTTTTCCCTTTCCCTTATCCTCCGATTGTGCACAACCTGTAATGCACATTTCAAAACACAAAATAGGGTTAGACCATGATATCAATTGAAAAATCCCTTTTGATAGTTATTATAGGGTGAAAATCACCAAAACACTTTTAGAAAACCCATATTTGTATAGATAACGAACAAACAATGTTTTTATAAAAACAAAACTTTTTGTCGCATCATATAGATGAGACAATTTCGTCTTATCATCATAACCCATTGAAGTATCAAACTTATCGCATTAAATAAACAAGTAGTCAAGTTGTCGCATCCTACATGAAATACACCAATTTATCGCATCATATTGATGCGATAATAAATTATGTCGCATCATACACATACGATAACCCCCTTGTCGCACCTTAATGATGCGATAATATTTCCTCGCATCATATAGATGCAAGCACCTCTTTTTGTTGCATCAAATTGATGCAATCACCCAACTTATCGTATCCAACAGATGCGATAATCAAATTTGTCGCAACATATAGATGTGATGACAATAACTTCTCGCACCATACTAGTGGGATAAACTCAACATATCGCATCTCAAGGATGCGGTAAATAATACTTCAATTTTTATCCCAATTTCATCGCATCACACAAATGTGATAAAAATCAACCTCATCGCATCACACTGATGCGATAATAAATTCCCATGATCATAAGATCATCATTTTTCCAGAATTTGTTTGTGCCACCCTTATCTTAGTATACCCAGCTCCTCATTATGACACCATTATTACAAAGATATACCCAACTCTTAAATATGTCAACCTTA